GCAAAACAACAAATTTCAGTTTTTCATATTTTATAAAACATATGAACTATGAACGTGTAGTGTAGTATCAATAACAAACAATAATAATAAACAACAAACAAGTTCAATCAAACAACAACAACAAATAGGTTCAACCAAACAAAAACAACAAACAAGTTAAAGAAAAAACAAGTTCAACAAAATAAGTTCTTCAAAACAAAAACGAAAACTAACCTTCAAAAGTGAGTTCGTCGAAATAAAGTATTGTCACCAGTGAGAGAGAAAGCAGAATGCGCCTATGAAGGACAAGAACACAAAAATAATCGGTCAAAACAAACAAAAATCATATCTAAAGTAGTTAATTAACATGCATTTGTAACAAATGAAAGAAAGATTACACGTGATGGTCTTCAAACTTTGTTCCAGAAAAGTTTGAGCAGAGAAGAGGGTATCTCACGCGCTAAGATAAAGTGAATGAATTTTCAATCTCCCGCTCAAATTTTTATTGAATTCACTAACCTTTTAATGTTTAAAGTTGGAGTATTCAATGTTTTTTGTCTTTTTGACGTCTAATTCTAGGGAATTCGACGTCATACATAAATACATTTTCACCTTCGCGCCAAACATTTTCGCAAAATTTATCCAATATAACAAATTGACGTCGAATTACAATTCTAAACGACGTCTAATAATTGCATTTACTTACAAAAAATGTCACCGATCATTTTTAACGTTGGGTTATTTAGTGATTGGACGTTGAACGCGTGACGTTATACGTTGTTTTTGCACTAGTATTAAAAGTAGACTTTATTTAACATTTGATTAAATTGACACTAAGTTAAATAATTTTTAAAAAGTACATTAACCTTGACTTAGTCAACACTAAACTAGTTTAATTAAAAAATTAATTTTTGAATTAATATTAAATTAGCAACAACTTAGAGTTGGTCTTCAAAAACTAATAATAAGAATTTAGCCTCTATAATTTTAAAGTTTCATACGCGTGTAATCCAATTCTAATATTAATATGATTTGTTAGTATTGACTTGAATTTGTTGACTTACACTAAATATTTTTTTTGTTTAATAATAACAGTAATAATATAACAATGATCAATTAAAAATATATCCATTTTCACATAATTAATTCAAACATACATAGTGATTTCCGTTGTCCAAATTACAATAACTTCGCAATTAAAGTGGATGAAAAAAACTCTTGTTATAGAAAAATCAACCCTTAAAATAAATTCAAATACTTTAAGAGATTAATCAATTTTTCCATTAACAATATCCCTGTTAAAAAAAAACTGGCTTCTACTTTTATTTTTAGTTGATCATGTCTCCGATATCATAACACGTAATTGAATGGTTAGCTATTAACACATTTTTATCATTCAGAAATTTAAAAAGAATGTATATTGACAATTTGGGTGGTCAATTATGAATTGCATAATATTTTATTATAGCAATGTGTTTGACGAGAATGAAGAATTTGGTTGCTTGAGATAATATGAAAACTACAATGTGAAACCAATAATCGCTGATGTGTTGATCGCGTAGCGGAATTTTTAAATATTACGATTATTCAACAAGATGAATTCTAAGTAAAAATATATTTAATTACTTGCGTTTTAACTATGTCGAAATAAATGTGCTATCTTAATCTAATTAAATAATTTTTTTTATCTTCCATAATTTCATATTTTCAAAATTTGAGAATCAAAAGTGAATTCATGATTTGTTTTCAATTAGATTAAATATTTTTTTTCTTATGATGAATTACTTATATTTTATTTTTGATTCTAATTGTTTAAACTAGTTTGAAATTAATTAATTTTTTAAGTTGTGAAAATTATTTAAATAGTACTTTTAACATTGAAATAAAGTGATTTGGATAAAGTATTTAAAAAAGAAAAGATTTATAGGAGAGCAATGTTAGAAATTTTTTATTATACAAAAAAAGAAAATCCAATAACTTTTAGAGTAAGTCTCCTCAATTTAAACGATTTACCTTACAAATCATGCGTTTATATTGAAAATTCATTTAAATTCTTGCACTCTACTAAAAAAGCTCATGTGATCAACATTCGTTTTGAAAATTGTTTAAGTAATATTATATCTTCTAAATTCCTTTGAATTATTTGAAACCACCAAGGTTGGTAAGATTCGGGGTGATTGATTTATATATTTTGAACAAATTCAAATCTAGTGAAAAACACGGGTTTTCATAATGCTTGAATAAGAAAGGTCAAATTTAGATAATTACTCGTGGATCAAAGTTTAGTCAAATTATGGATAAATATATTTTGACTTATAGCAGCATTTTATTTAAACCAAAATTAAATATTAATTAATTGGTCGTTTGAGAAAAAGTGTGAACAGCTCTTTGTTTATTCATAAAGTCCTATAAAAATATATTATTTGTTGGAACCAAAGTAGAAAGTCATCCAAGATTTCAAAGGATAACTCAAATCGATACAGCACATGATAAAAATAAGTTAATCACCTTATTTTTCTTCTCTATAATGTGTTCATAAAAGGATAGTTCAAAGTCCATAATATACCAAAAGGTTTACGAGAACTGAAATCAAAACGAATTTCTCAGAAATTATAGAAAGAGATAAACATGGAATTGGCCTCGTATTATTACTGTGTGATTGCGTGGTAAAGAATTTTCTCAGATGAATAATTTTGAAAGTTCATTTGCTTAACATCATTGTTTTGATTTGGATAAGATTGTCTTCAACATCCTCAAAATTTGGTTAGCCCAGTCAACAAGTTACAGTAGACCTCATCCACATATAACTTTTGTCGACAGAGATTATGTACCTTATTTTTTTATACATTAAAATACTATTTTATTTGTATTAAAATAAAAAATGTTTAACGCGTAAATATTTGACAAATATATTCAACAGAGATTATTAAATTAAATACATCAAACATAATTCAAATACAGAGAGCTGGTTTTAAAAAATGAAAACTAAATTTAGATTTGACGTATTATTCTAACATCATGATTTTAATTACATGAATTAAATCGTGCTGTTTTCATTAGTGTGTGAAGTGATTATTAGATGATCCACCGATAAATTTTATAATATCAAATACGACAGATTTATGGCTTCATTTGAATTTAAGTTTGACGAATAGTTGAACCAGTAATTAACCATTAAGAAACATTGGTCAAATTAGAAGTTAAACGCGTAACCAATCCCTATCTAACCTTATCACCAACCAACAAAAGGTTGTTGCTATACCTACCACATAGCTTGTAGGCTTCACGTACAGCACTTATTAAATTAATGACACATGTTAACAAATGATGAATGAGATTTAAATGATGTGTGTTTAATTTATAAACACTAAACCAGACATTCGTGCTAATTAGTAATTAATTGGTAGTTCAGACGTTAAAAAAATAAAAATAAATAAAGTTGATGAATGATTCCGTAAGAAAATATAACATAAAAAAATGCCGCCATATTTGTCATTCAACTTTGAATTTGTCAAAGACAAAGCTCTAATATTGTTTTTCCAACATCAGCATACGAGACTGTGTCTGTCAATCTGCACATGCAATATTATTATTATTATTAAAAGGTAGCTGGCTACTTTCCCTATATAAACACACACTTGTGACCACATGAAGCAATGAATTAACACAATCGTTGACAGAAAAAAAGAAAAGAAAAGAAAAGGTTAAGCAGAATCATTAGAAATGGCACGCAAGAGCTTTTGCATTCTCAGCATCATTACTTATGTTCTTGTAATCAGCAAAACAAACGTTAATTGCATAGAAACTGATGCAGTTGATCCTATTATTGATGTTGCTAATCTGAATCGGGATAGTTTCCCACCGGGTTTCATCTTTGGGGCTGGATCCTCTTCATACCAGGTATTAATTAAGACAAGATAGAGTAATCAACCACTAATTAGTACTTAATGTTGTTCATTTCACTAATAAGACATGGTCTTGATTATGTTTTCATCGTAAAATGTAATATAGTTCGAAGGTGCTGCAAAAGAAGGTGGCAGAGGACCAAGTGTGTGGGATACTTTCACCCATAAATTTCCAGGTATATATTTTGTTTCCCAGATATATTTATCTATGGTTTGGTTAATATCTTAAAAGGAATTATATAATTTACAATGTGTGAATTGACTTGCAGATAAGATACTGGACAAAAGCAATGGAGATGTGGCTATAGATACATATCACCGTTATAAGGTATATGATTTCTTCAAAGTAGTATTTTATTAAGTCATTCTTAAGATATGATAAATTAATTCTTACTATATCTTGAGTATTGTGTTTGTTTTTAGTTTATTCTATTTTAATCGTTGATGCAATATAATAACATTTACATTATACATAAATTTACAGGAAGATGCTAAATTTATGAAGAATATGAACTTGGATTCATACAGATTCTCGATTTCTTGGTCCAGGATTCTACCAAGTAAGTCAAATGCTGAACAATGTCATCAACGAACTATTGGCTAATGGTAAGGTTCAAACTCAGATTTCTTTTATCTCATCACATTCTTCTGTTATCAATGGTGGTATATGACAATTAAATATGAACATTTGTAGGTATAAAACCACTGGTAACTCTTTTCCATTGGGATCTTCCCCAAACTTTAGAAGATGAATACGGTGGCTTCCTAAGTCCTCTCATAATGTGAGTTTTGATTCCAAAGTATTAATTACTTTACTCTTGGAAAATTCAATAGCTAGTTTTGTTGATCAAACACCTGTATCATACTGGATTGAACTTCATTAAACTTTTCTTTGTCATTGCAGGTTGGAAAAGCTATAACAAAAGATGATAAAGCTCAAACATAATTGTTCTGGTTGTGATTACAAGTTGCTAAATTAGTATTGAAGTCCAAAGTGTTATTACTACAGAGAGGTATATGATTCAAATGCTACATAAATATTTTATTGTATTAGTTGGTTAAAATCTTGTTTAATATATATTTGTATAGTGTGGATGCAGGGCATATATATTTATTGTATGGGATGTTAGTCATGATTGATATATTGTTATATATATTACATTTATTACNACTCAAACTCGCTTCAATTTCTTAGGGTTTATTATAGTCATTCTATGGGTAAACGATTGGAAGAATCTGCAAGAGGTTTCCACGGGGAAGCGTTTGATGATGAGGAGTTTGAGATGATGGTGGGGCACTCCCTCATCATTCAGGAGCTAATGCAAAGACATAAAAGAGACTAGTGTTGATTCCAATGTGAGTGGCTCCAAAGTGAAGAAGAAAGAAGGGGAGTAGTTGAAGAGTATCAAGAATGTCACAAACTTAATCGTCAGTAATAGGGATTGATAGGCAATGATGGGATAGACACCTCGTTGGAAAAGGCGATCGATAGTCCAACGCTTCCACCAATGACAATTGGAACGTGGCATTTCATGGATCAAAGAGGGTGACGTCACTTTACAAGAGCTAAGAGATTCAAGCACATAATGTGTCTATTTTGAGTAGTTTGGATGGAAAGTATTTAGTGAGTAATTTGAGGATTACGTGATTCATGTATGGCGGTGGGGGAAGGAGAGAGGAAAGGGTAGCTACCTTCAGGGAGAAGGAGGACTTACTATGTTACGTGATAATAAGTTGGACTTATTATGTTAGGTATCCTAACCTTTGTTATAGTAAGTCGGCTTAGTGTGTCAAGCCTACACATGTCGTCATTATAAGTTAGACTTACTATGACGAATATTTGTATACCTAAAATAGTAAGTTAAATTTACTATGTCAAGTCTTCGTTATAGAAAACACAAATTTGTTATACCCCATAATTATGATGTCAAAATAATTGTCCTAATATGTCTAATAGACTTGACATAAAAAGTCATGCACCAGTGAATATTTATAATTTTTTAAGTTAATGATACTAAGTTATATTATAAATTTTGTTCCTTGATAACGATATGAATAGTAGATTATTTTAATTAAAGGTTTAAATTTAATGTTGACAAATCTTCTCACACATTATGTTCTTCTCTCAATTTCTATATAAATTCCACCACGCTCATTTTTTCACTTGTATTCACAATTCTCCTTATACTTATATATTTCATTTACACAACTCTTTCACTTACATTCATTCCCTTCATTTACATTTTTGTCCTCATATCCTTCATTCAAATTATTTTTGATATCTTTTTCATTCACCTTCATTCTTTATCTACGTTTTGTTTACTCATTTCCTTAATCTAAATTATTCTCTTTATATTTTTCGTTCATATTCATCTCCTTTGTCCGCATTTGTTCTTTCATATATACTCATATCCTATATTTACTATAATGTACATTTTCTAATTTTTTCATTTATATTTATTAAAAACGAAGATATTATATGAGATTTATTTTAAGTTATTATTATTATTATTATTGTCAGTCAATCTGATGTAAAGTAGCTAATACTAGTACAAAAATATTGTATAACGTCGTTGTTTTTGGTCTTTCACGTCGAATTCGAGATCGAAGTCATATCGGGAGACGTTAAATTGATGTCGAACATAGAACAATTTGAAGTTGATCAAATTAACGTCGAATTTTGTCAATATTCGACGTTAATCAATTTTTTTGTTTTTTTTAATTAACTGTGATCCTTTTTTCACAACTTTACAAGACCTGAAAAGCAGCAAAACAACAAATTTCAGTTTTTCATATTTTATAAAACATATGAACTATGAACGTGTAGTGTAGTATCAATAACAAACAATAATAATAAACAACAAACAAGTTCAATCAAACAACAACAACAAATAGGTTCAACCAAACAAAAACAACAAACAAGTTAAAGAAAAAACAAGTTCAACAAAATAAGTTCTTCAAAACAAAAACGAAAACTAACCTTCAAAAGTGAGTTCGTCGAAATAAAGTATTGTCACCAGTGAGAGAGAAAGCAGAATGCGCCTATGAAGGACAAGAACACAAAAATGATCGGTCAAAACAAACAAAAATCATATCTAAAGTAGTTAATTAACATGCATTTGTAACAAATGAAAGAAAGATTACACGTGATGGTCTTCAAACTTTGTTCCAGAAAAGTTTGAGCAGAGAAGAGGGTATCTCACGCGCTAAGATAAAGTGAATGAATTTTCAATCTCCCGCTCAAATTTTTATTGAATTCACTAGCCTTTTAATGTTTAACGTTGGAGTATTCAATGTTTTTTGTCTTTTTGACGTCTAATTCTAGGGAATTCGACGTCATACATAAATACATTTTCACCTTCGCGCCAAACATTTTCGCAAAATTTATCCAATATAACAAATTGACGTCGAATTACAATTCTAAACGACGTCTAATAATTGCATTTACTTACAAAAAATGTCACCGATCATTTTTAACGTTGGGTTATTTAGTGATTGGACGTTGAACGCGTGACGTTATACGTTGTTTTTGCACTAGTATTAAAAGTAGACTTTATTTAACATTTGATTAAATTGACACTAAGTTAAATAATTTTTAAAAAGTACATTAACCTTGACTTAGTCAACACTAAACTAGTTTAATTAAAAAATTAATTTTTGAATTAATATTAAATTAGCAACAACTTAGAGTTGGTCTTCAAAAACTAATAATAAGAATTTAGCCTCTATAATTTTAAAGTTTCATACGCGTGTAATCCAATTCTAATATTAATATGATTTGTTAGTATTGACTTGAATTTGTTGACTTACACTAAATATTTTTTTTGTTTAATAATAACAGTAATAATATAACAATGATCAATTAAAAATATATCCATTTTCACATAATTAATTCAAACATACATAGTGATTTCCGTTGTCCAAATTACAATAACTTCGCAATTAAAGTGGATGAAAAAAACTCTTGTTATAGAAAAATCAACCCTTAAAATAAATTCAAATACTTTAAGAGATTAATCAATTTTTCCATTAACAATATCCCTGTTAAAAAAAAACTGGCTTCTACTTTTATTTTTAGTTGATCATGTCTCCGATATCATAACACGTAATTGAATGGTTAGCTATTAACACATTTTTATCATTCAGAAATTTAAAAAGAATGTATATTGACAATTTGGGTGGTCAATTATGAATTGCATAATATTTTATTATAGCAATGTGTTTGACGAGAATGAAGAATTTGGTTGCTTGAGATAATATGAAAACTACAATGTGAAACCAATAATCGCTGATGTGTTGATCGCGTAGCGGAATTTTTAAATATTACGATTATTCAACAAGATGAATTCTAAGTAAAAATATATTTAATTACTTGCGTTTTAACTATGTCGAAATAAATGTGCTATCTTAATCTAATTAAATAATTTTTTTTATCTTCCATAATTTCATATTTTCAAAATTTGAGAATCAAAAGTGAATTCATGATTTGTTTTCAATTAGATTAAATATTTTTTTTCTTATGATGAATTACTTATATTTTATTTTTGATTCTAATTGTTTAAACTAGTTTGAAATTAATTAATTTTTTAAGTTGTGAAAATTATTTAAATAGTACTTTTAACATTGAAATAAAGTGATTTGGATAAAGTATTTAAAAAAGAAAAGATTTATAGGAGAGCAATGTTAGAAATTTTTTATTATACAAAAAAAGAAAATCCAATAACTTTTAGAGTAAGTCTCCTCAATTTAAACGATTTACCTTACAAATCATGCGTTTATATTGAAAATTCATTTAAATTCTTGCACTCTACTAAAAAAGCTCATGTGATCAACATTCGTTTTGAAAATTGTTTAAGTAATATTATATCTTCTAAATTCCTTTGAATTATTTGAAACCACCAAGGTTGGTAAGATTCGGGGTGATTGATTTATATATTTTGAACAAATTCAAATCTAGTGAAAAACACGGGTTTTCATAATGCTTGAATAAGAAAGGTCAAATTTAGATAATTACTCGTGGATCAAAGTTTAGTCAAATTATGGATAAATATATTTTGACTTATAGCAGCATTTTATTTAAACCAAAATTAAATATTAATTAATTGGTCGTTTGAGAAAAAGTGTGAACAGCTCTTTGTTTATTCATAAAGTCCTATAAAAATATATTATTTGTTGGAACCAAAGTAGAAAGTCATCCAAGATTTCAAAGGATAACTCAAATCGATACAGCACATGATAAAAATAAGTTAATCACCTTATTTTTCTTCTCTATAATGTGTTCATAAAAGGATAGTTCAAAGTCCATAATATACCAAAAGGTTTACGAGAACTGAAATCAAAACGAATTTCTCAGAAATTATAGAAAGAGATAAACATGGAATTGGCCTCGTATTATTACTGTGTGATTGCGTGGTAAAGAATTTTCTCAGATGAATAATTTTGAAAGTTCATTTGCTTAACATCATTGTTTTGATTTGGATAAGATTGTCTTCAACATCCTCAAAATTTGGTTAGCCCAGTCAACAAGTTACAGTAGACCTCATCCACATATAACTTTTGTCGACAGAGATTATGTACCTTATTTTTTTATACATTAAAATACTATTTTATTTGTATTAAAATAAAAAATGTTTAACGCGTAAATATTTGACAAATATATTCAACAGAGATTATTAAATTAAATACATCAAACATAATTCAAATACAGAGAGCTGGTTTTAAAAAATGAAAACTAAATTTAGATTTGACATATTATTCTAACATCATGATTTTAATTACATGAATTAAATCGTGCTGTTTTCATTAGTGTGTGAAGAGATTATTAGATGATCCACAGATAAATTTTATAATATCAAATACGACAGATTTATGGCTTCATTTGAATTTAAGTTTGACGAATAGTTGAACCAGTAATTAACCATTAAGAAACATTG